TTATCGTTATTATTATTATTGTTATTATTGTTATTATTAGTATTCTTAGTATTATTATTGTTATTATTATTGTTATTGTGATTGTTATTATTGATATTCATATGTATGATTATCATTATTTTTGCTGAAGTCTTTCTCGCCGGATCCTTTGAGGCTCAAGCCAGCGTTTAAAGAGCCTGAAAGGACGGCTCCGAGTAGAGACTTGTTGAGGAAGGCTACCCTCCTATGTGCGAGCTCTGGAGACAGTGGACGGAGGTGGAGGCCCTCTCCTAAGGATCGCCTGCAGTTTCTCCTTTTGGGCTTTGGCGCTGGGCCTCTTTCTTTTTTTTTTTTGCAGGTCTTTTGCGCTGGATGTCGAAACCAGTGCTGAAGCCTCGGCTTCGCAAGGTGAAGTTCTGCTGACATTGGCCCCATATTTCCCAGGTGATCAGAAATGTGTAATCGACAACCATGAGGCAGGCCCCTAAACCCTAAACCTAAACCCCTAAACCCCTAAACCCCTAAACCTCTAAACCCCTAAACCCTAGACCCTAAACCTTTACACCCCCACTCTATGACCTGCCATGCCACAACCCAGCTCCAACAAGGCCCAGTCACAAGTTCACTTCTGTTATCGGAGGTGGAAATTCTTCATGGCCCTCTCACGGAGGGTGTCGACGTCCAAGATGCTCCTGGAATCTTTCGTATTGCCAAGCCTGCTTTCACTGCCTTTCCCAGGAGCCTTCGTATGCTGAGAACTGCTGCCAGCAAATGCGCCCAGCGAGCATTGGAAGCCCTTTGCCCCAACTGGATGTTTCTTGTCTGCGGTCAGCTCGGGTCAGTGATGCGTTCGTGCCATAGCAGGCTTGTCCAGTGCCGAGATGTGTTCGGCCAAGCTGGTGGAGAGGCATCGGCCAAGCCTACACTTTCCAGCCAAGATGCGAATGTCTTTCACCTGCCCGAGGAACCGCACAGTCAGTATGTCCAGCAGACCGGGGCCCGAGTGGTCGTCGGTGCCTCAAGCCGCTCCAGTCTTTCAAGCCTCAGCTGTTGTCAGGGTCCTAGTATCTTATAGTATCTTATAGTATATTATAGCATATTATAGTAGATTATAGTATATTATAGCATATTATAGTATATTATAGTATATTATCTGCCTAGGTCCGAAACCCTCTCCGTCCTTCTGAGCCCACGGCTGCTCGGATTCCTGCCAGAGTACGTCAACAAGCACCGAGGAAGTGGTAGCCACCTGTGCACCACGCGCTGAGCCTCTAATTCGAACCTGCATGGCATCGACCGCCTGTTGGCCAATTCGTCAAGAAGAACGGGCCTCTGAGAGATGTGCTCTGCAACTTTCGTTCTTGAAGCTGATGTCCTGGTCAGTTCACACCTGAAAACCGAGCTTTCCCTGGCCAGGCCTCCATCCTGGGAGCTGTTGCCGGAGCGCACTTTGTCCGTGCAGTTGCTCCTGCTTATGGCATCCCTGCCATGCCCAGCATGCTTACTGGGGCTTCAGAAGCCCCAAACCCTGAACCCCAAACCCAAAAGGTTCGTTTGAATGGCAGCTCTTGCCAGGTGATCGTGCACTCCGACCACTGCGCCAAGAAGCTGTTGCCTTGGTTCGATGGCGCCGACCTCAAAGACAAAATCTCGCAAGCCCCAAGCTACGACCCCAAAGCCTTGAATCCCAACAGCCCTGAGGCCCAAAGCCTAAAGCCCATACAGTCTCCCGTATAGTACGCTTATAACCTTCCCGTACCCCTAAAGTACCGATTGCCTCTTCGATGCTCAGGCATGCTCGAAGCCGACGAAGCATTCTTCAAGCAGCATGGCGAGCCCCTCTTCTCTTCGCACATGTTGGACCTGTCCGAAGCTCATTTCAGAGTTTCAGGGCTTTAGGGCTTTAGGGTTCAGGGCTTCAGGTTTGTAAGGTTTTTTTTTAGGGTTCAGGGTTTCAGGGTTTCAGGGCTTTAGGGTTCAGGGCTTCAGGGTTTCTAAGAGTTTTAGGGTTCAGGTCCTGAGGGGCTCGTGGGGTTTTGGGAGTTCGGGTTTATGTCCGAAGCTCGCTGAGCTGAGCCGTTGGGCAGCCACTGCTTCTGGCAGGGGGCTCCTCAGAATCCAGCAGGTCCTTTGCTTAAGCCTCCCTAAACCCTAAACCCTAAACGCAGGTCCTTTGCTTAAGTCTTAAGCTTGTTCAGATGCCTTTAGTATACTGGATCCTACTACGCTCCATGCTTTTCCCACAGAGGTCCCAGTGTCATAAACCCTAAGCGCCCCCAAACACTGATGCCTAAATCCGAGAAAGAAGTTGCCGCGACGCTGAGGTCCGAAGAGCCCGACGAGGAGAACATTGCCATCTGCGCAAAGTAAGAACCCCCTCTTGGGGCTTTGGGGTTGCTTAGGGGTGAATGAGGCTGCGAGGGTGGATGCCTCAACAATTCTCCTGCTGCAGAGGTACTTGACCCGCATGGCCCCCATGAAGCAGATCTTGGATGCTGGGCTCGATTTGATAGACACTGCCTCCTGAGACCCGACACCCTAACTACAAAACCCGAAATCACAAACCCCAAATCTTGCGCCATAAGAACCCTAAACCCTGAACCCTAAGTCCTAAACCCGTAAGCCCTGGTGGCTTAGGAGATGGAGATTGGAATCACCGGCGGCGTGGAAGATGGCGTGGACAACAGCGGAGCCGCCAAGGCCACCGCATACCTGCCCCCGGCCCTCCCCGGGCTGCTGTCACTCTCTGTGATACTACCCTTATAGTAACCTTAAAGTAATCTTATGGTAACCTTAAAGCAATCTTATAGTAACCTTAAAGTATTCTTACGGTAGCCGTACAAGTAATCTTATATTAACTGTACAAGTTCAGGAGAAGCTCTACTCCACTCCTGCGGATGTGTTCGCTGTCTACAAGGCCCTCAATCCTATCTCCCCGATGCCACTTGGCTGTCTTTGGCTGTGCTGAGTTTTTATGCAGTGCTTGCTGAGAACAGAGAACAACAGCCTCGGTTGAGACATTGGGGACTTGAGGGCGTCTACTGCCCTCAATAGAAAAACTTCTGAACAAGTTCTTAGTGACAATGACAAACAGTGGTGCGTCCACAGTTTCACCCATGCATCCGGAATATGGGTCCCAACAACCTTGCCGGAATTCGAGCGGGGAGTTCTGTTCGGTGACGCTGTGCAAGGTTCACCATCGCTGCGGCTTTCGGCAACGTCCATGGCGTTTACAAGGCCGCTCCCCTAATTACCCTTAAAAAAAAGCTTCAAAGTGGACCGTAAAAGTCGCACACCGAAACACCCCAAACCCTCGAAGCCCCCTTTCGCCCGAAAGGCCTGAAGGCCCAATTATGATTATTGCCACCATTACTATTGTACATCATTATTGTGATACTATCTCTTGTTTCTTCGGAGTTCTCCAGGCCGGAAACGTCGTGCTGAAGCCCGAGCTGCTAGAGGACCGAAGGGCGGTGTTGGGCCGCCTGTTCTTCTTCCTGCTGCTGCTTGTGTTGTCGGCTCGGTTTTTCATGTACATGCGCAACACCGACATGCCGATTTCATGGGTATCGCCTCATCACTTACCAGAGCCCCGAACTGTTCTGATGCCCACTCAGACCTCACTTACTTACCAGAGCATGAAGTGCCCGCACCGTAGTAACATCCGCTCAGACCTCATCCCGCTTCCCAGAGCATCCATGCCTGAATAAATACAGCTGTTCTTGCCTCTGCTTGTCATGATTGTCCTTCTCCTAAAGAGGATGGTTTCCAAAAGTGCGACCAAGAGCTCCAAATCCCAAGACTCAAGGGTTAAGATTACTTTAACGTTACTGTAAGGGCAGTATCACACAGAACCATGCTGTTAGTATGCTACTATCATCTGTTTCATTCTGCATGCACGAATGCCTGCGGTTTTTGGGGCAACTAGTTGGGGGTGCAAGGAGGCCGCCGCCCTGTTGGTACGAGCGCCTGTGCACGCGGCACCCACCCAAAATTCGGTGGCTGGACAGGAGATGCAGGTTTACGCACGTGAGCAGATCAAGTCCACGACCGGACAGGACATTGAGCGGCAGCAGCCTCAAATAGCATCGCATAAAGTTGCGTCTGAGGAGCAGAGCATCGCATAGAGTTGAGTATGTGGAGCCCGCAACCCTAAAGCCCAAGGACCCCCCATGGGCCCACGGTGTTTCCAGGGTGTCTCAGTGCCTCTTCAGGCCTTTGAACTTTGTCTTCCACGGGGGCTCTGGATCTGAGAAGCATCACATCACCACCGCCGCTGCCACAGAAGCCGTTTGATGTAGAGTGTGCATGCAACATGTGTATACAGACATACACATACATACATGCATTGCATACATACATACCTACCTATGTTTGTATGCATGTATGAAAAATATTCAAACATAGATATTGTTTGATGCTATTGGCTGTACGGCATGTTAGGTACCTTAGACAATCAATATGCTGAGTCTTGGGCCGAGGCACTGAATGCGGGAGTTGTGAAGATGAACGTGGACACCGACACGTAGCAGCCTCAGATCCGAAGGTGGCTTTAGGGTTTAGGGCTTAGGGGGTGTAGGGTTTTAGGGTTTAGGGTGCAGGGTTAGGGGTTTAGGGTGCAGGGTTTAGGGTTTAGGGTTTAGGGGGTGTAGGGTTTTAGGGTTTAGGGTGCAGGGTTTAGGGGTTTAGGGGTTTGGGGTTTTCGTGAAGCTGGGCATGAGTGCACATCTTGGCCAGGCAGTGGGCATACTGGGAGGGCCTTCTCAAGTTCTACAAGGCGAAGGAAGGCCTTCTCCTCAGTTTAGTGTTTCGGGTTTAGGGTTTTGGGTTTTGGGTTTAGGGTTTAGGGTTTTGGGCCGCTTTGGATCCAAAGCACCCATTCTGCATGCGAGGTTACCTGCAGGGCCAGATCGGCAACCCGGAAGGTGAGGACAAGCCAAACAAGAGCTGCTCGTCCTTGAAGTTGGGGGTTTCGGGTGTGGGATTTCATATAGGGGATGGGCTTCATGTTGTGACCTTTGCTCAGGCTTCTACGACCCGCGCAAGTGGATCCGTGAATGCGAGAATTCCATGGTGAAGCGAGTGAAGGACCTTGTTGCTACATCCCTGAAGCCCCAAAACCCTACACTCCATAGTGCCATAAAGCACTTGTTGCTCCCGCTTTACACAGAACTGCACTCCTGCAGGAGAGCTGCGCAGACTTGGCGAGACTTGGCGGCACCTCAGGAGCCTCAGGGTCTAGGGTGTAGCCTTGATGGTTTGGGATGGTTTAAGGCTAAGGGTTTTTCGGATTCCGGAGAACACACATTGCAGATCTGAGATAGTTTAAGGTTTGGGGTTCAAGTTCAGGGTTTGGGCCTCCAGGCTTAGGGTTGGAGCAAGCAGGGCATGTGCGCTTTGCCTTCCTGCTTCCCAAGGAACACGAACTGAGCCGATCTGCGGCGACCGCCTTGGGCACAATTGTTTTGAAGCTTTCCGCTTCGAGTTCTGAAGGCATTCAGGTGACGGAGGTTCGAGTGATGTTTCCCTAAACCCTAAACCCTAAACCGTGTGTTTCGGGCCTCTGTTAATCCTGCTTGCTCTGGCCGGGCTCGAGGCTTTCGTTCAGTCCTTGCCACCGTTCCGTCACTGCCCAAAAGGTGGAAAAAAAGGAGCCCTGCACACACCTGGGATGGACTTCCGGAAGTCTGGGAAAGTGGATCCCTTCGATATAGCTAAACCCTAAACCCTAAACCCAAGACCCTAAACCCAAGACCCTAACCAGACAGGCCTTTAGTAGAAGGTCTCAGCCACGAGAGCCCTTCTTGAAGCTGAGCCTGGAGGCTCTGGAGCGAGAGCGGATGATGGCCATCAAGTACAAGGCCATCAGCCCTGGCGCGCAAAGTACACCCGAAGCCCGAACCCTAAACTTGAAACCCTAAACATCCTAAACTCAAGTCCTAAGTCCGAAACTTAGACCCTAAATCCTAAACTTGAAACCCTAAATCCTGAACCTTGATCCCTGAAGCCCTAAAGCCGTAAACCTAAAACCCAAAACATAATGAACCAAGCGCAGCACCAAACTTTGTACGCACCCAAGGCCTAAGAAGCCCTTGGACCCCTTAAGGTATAGAAAATACGAAACCCTTATCGTACCCTAGTGAGTAAGCCATATAGAAAACCCTTGTAGCTGTACAGCAACCCGGTATAACAAAACACCTTCATCTCAGGAGTAACCCCCTCTACTACACCCTCCTCGGCCGAAAGCCCTAAACCCTAGACCCTAAACCCTCAACCCCCAACCCTAAACCCTAAACCCTCAACCCTAAACCCTCAACCCTAAACCCTCAACCCTGAACCCTAAGAGGAGCTGGACATCTTCAAGCTCGACATCATCGCCCGGGAGCTCAAGTCTCTGGACAACGAGCTCGGCTTGGTGGGCAAGGAGGCGCTGCGAGAGGGCTCTCCTTGAAAGGGAACCTGAAGGGTTTTAGGGGGCTTAGGGGCTTAGGGTTTTAGGGTTTTAGGGCTTTAGGGGGCTTAGGGTTTTAGGGGTTTAGGGTTTAGGGTTTTAGGGTTTTAGAGTTTAGGGCTTAGGGTTTAGGGCTTAGCAACAGAGTAGAAAAGCCCGAATCGCTGCGAGTCGTGTATAAGCCACCAAGCGGAAAGCACCTAAGCCCTTGAACCCTGCACTTGCTACTGGCTGCCAATTGCGCCAGGCCAAGTTTCTCCAACAAAGCGCAGGGCGACTGAAAGATTTTGGGGACCAGCAGCAAATCCTTCAGCCTTTTTCTCAGCTCCAGTTGTTGCGAGGGTGTAGCAGCGTAGATGCGGTTTAGACATACACTGAGCCCTGGAGGCATGGAAGCAAGATGCCAGACTCCGAGCATGAGTATTGCATGTGGATGAAGAGGGCTGCAGTGAGGGAGCAGGGAGACATCATTGCCCAACCCACTCACGAAATTGGCAACACCCTTTCCGCAACCTTCTCCTTCAAGCAGGGGTCTTTGCCAACTAGACCCGTAGCAGCAAACTGTACAAGTCGAATCTGGCAGCCCAGCGACGCAAGTCAGAGCCTACATCCGCCTTCATCCCTGTTTCCCAATACCCGACAGTGAACCCTGGATGCTTTGCGCACCAGTTCGGCTCTCGGCCATAGCCGAGCCCAAAGCGCAACACACAGCAGCGGGCATTGAGCCAAGAGTATGTCCAGGTTGGATCAGTGCGTGCAGCTTCGCTCACACATCCGGGACCGGAAGATCTGCTAAGCAATGTCTCCTTGTCTCCTTGTGTCGCTGTGGTGCACGCATGTGCACGCCATCTCCGTCTCTTTTTGCACACGATGTTACGATGGCTTGATGCAGGACGTCATCCACAAGTGCCTTTCTGAAACGCAGAAGCTGCATATCGGTGCACCGGCAATAGATGATCCCTTGGCTGCAGCAAGCTCAGAGCACAGCTGCACTTGATGCCCTTCGTTGGACCACCTGATAGCCGAAGCCCAGGCAGGTGAACTGAAGGATGGTGGCGCCATCTGCCCAGCTTCGATCTTGGGGTGTTCTCGGAGTGAGAAAACGTGGTCAAATGCAGGTCATGGCCGGCTTTGTTTGCGAAGAGGTGGACGTGGAGCTGGCTGGCTTTTTGAACAGATCCTCAAAAGCCTTTACCTCGAAGGCTTGAAGCTTCAGTCCTGGACCCTACAGTCTTCGGAAGTCCGATCCGCCCTAGACCCTGAACCCTATAATCTTGCTGTATGTACATATATACACATACATACACGATATGTATGTATTCGTGTTATGTTACGTTACGTTATGTTACGTTATGTTAGGTTAGGTCAGGTTATGTTAGGTCAGTGTGTATACATGCATCATGTGTGGGTATATATAGAAATGTCTATGTATAGGTATAGTTATGGGTATGGGTATAGCTACAGGTAGAGGCATAGGTATGTATGTGTATTTTAATATATTTTTACATACACATGCATGCACATATATATATATATATATTTTTGTACATATTGTATAGTAGGTCAGAGTAGGATAGTAGAGCTCGCTGCCGTTTCACTTGAGGTTGCTCTGCTGAAATTGTTGCAGCAGACGCTTTCTCTACATGCCTGCAGCCCATGTGCGGAGCGGTTAAGCCCTTGACGTGTACAAGGTCTGAGGTCTCCTCACCCTCGCCGGTTGTACAGCTGAGTATTTAACCGGGTGGGCCACATGTGTAGAACATACTAGCGTTGGGTAGTCGAGCTCACTACTTTCTGTTTTGATTTTGCTGTGCGTATTGCATGTCGATTGCCTTGGTTAGTCAGAGCGAGAAAGCCAAGGCCATCGTAGATTTCAATCTTTGCTGTAACATGTCCTGCTGATCGCTTCGACATCGGGACATCGCAGCTTCCTCTTGGTGAGCTTCTCTTCTGGAGAGAGGGTGACGAAGTCACATATCGCCCGTATGACCGTTGACGCAACGGACGCGAAAGAATGAAAGACATCACAACCCCTCTCGTGGAGACGTCGCTACAGGTCTTACTTGCGGTTGGATCACGGTCGTCCTTGATACTTCGAAAAGAGTTCGAGGGCCTGGGAACATTTCGTCTGTAGTTTTCGTTCGGATCTGTGTGGAGCGATCGCCAGCTATCTGGTGCGCCCCTCCGGTGATCGGAGCATCCGTTCGGAATGATGAAGATCAGAGATGTTCGAGTTTTGATCTGTGGCCGACTCCCACAATGCGGTCGACAAAAAGTCTGCGTGCCATCGTTGGCTGTTCAGCGAGCCCCCGAGCGGTGAAGATCCAGTAAACTGGTATATATATATACACATTTATATACACATATCCGCCTACACACACATTATTCTTCGTGTACGTGATCCAGATGTTCTTCTTTGGTTGCCAGGCTCCCGTTCACGGTTCCTCGAAAGCTGCACGGCTTCGCCAAGGGGACTGCGCGTGGGGGTTATTATGAGAGTTTAGGGATTAAGATGATACCGATCTTTTTCACGGGGAGGGTTGAAGCCTTTGAAAGAGTTTCTGTTTTGGGATGCAGGGTGTGGTGCGTTTGCCTGCTGCATGCGAATGCTTTCGCTTTGAGCGAACGTTGGCCGTGTGTGATGACACAAAGAGGAACAGACCAAGGATCAGAGCCAAAGCCAAGTATAACCAAGCGGTGCGATCGACCAGGTATGAGCAATGTGCCCGCACTGTCCGCAACCTGTCCTTGTTGGCGAAATGCACGCTCCCAAAGATCACGATGCTCGCATGGACACGCGCTGCCCCCAACTTGCAGATGAACGTCGATGCGAGAAGCATCTGACAAAGCACGCCTTCAGGGAGGCTTACAAAGGCGGAACGTGCCTGGCGTTGGTGAGGTGAACCTGCAGAAGAGCTTTGCGCACCGTGCAAAAATGACCACACTGACCGGCTGCTCCCCTAAACGAAACAAGAAGCATGCGTATTTCGGAGTAGCCGCGAAAAGTTTTGACTGTAGACTCGGTGCCTGCAGACGGCTTCGACGCACATGCATCTCGTTCTCTGGCATCACGAAAAGAATCTACCGCCAGGACGAAATGGCCAGAGAGCGCAGGATCCAGTCCGGCAGGCCCAGCACTGGTGGGAGGCTCCTTGCAAGGTTGCGCGGCAAAGGTGCGTAGAGCTTCCGATGAATTCCGTGAGGCCAACGGGTTGACTGCGATGACTTCGGTCCCAGCACCTAAGGTGAGTTTGCCAAAGTAGCGAGATCACCGTTAGAGATAGATGTGGACTCAAGAGGTCGCGGCTGCCTGAACGCAAGTCAAGTCACCACGAAATACCCGCTTGGATGCAACATAACATCTTCGTCCAGCAGACGTGCATGTGATAACGAGCAACGAATTGTCGCCCAAGGCTCATCGTTCCACTCATAGGTCATTTCAAAACAGTTCGGAATGGAAAAGGCAAGCTGGACAGCACGGTGCCGACTGCATGCTGCCAGATGTCAATCTGCTGTGGGGTTTCCCCTTGAGAGTATTTCGCGTGCTTTTGCTTGCAGCTGAACGACATGGAGCATCATGGAGAGAGTCCTGCAGCTACCAGTCGTGACAAGATCACTCATGCAGCTAAGCCAAGCTTCTTGGATATTGACGTGAGGGCAAAAGGGTCATTCGACAGTTTCCAGAGGACTGAAGTACAGATCCCAAAGAGTAGGATCCTTCTGCCAAGGGCAGACTCCTTAGTAAGGTATTCCTAGTATCAAGAAGCTGCCATAGGCTGGCCAAGGACAAGCCGGCTGAGCATCAAGCGTCTGGCCATGCTGGCTGGCAGCGATGTGGCTGACGGCATGGCAGTTGTTGCCAACCCTTTGGGGACTAGCTCAGGCTCAAGGCACGTCTTTGCAACAATTCCGCGAAGAAGCGGTGTAGGGTTTAGGGTTCGTTTTGGCTTACCATACCAAACTCGAATGGCGACGGCTCTACTGAGAGATCCGCTGCCTTGAAGCCTCCAGGTGGATTGGAACAGGCACTGGCGGAAGAGCGCGAAAGATGGTGGAATGCTGGACACACCCAGGTGCAGTTGTGGGATCATTCCTGGTTGACTCCCCGGCTCGTCTGCGGAATGCGCTTCATGCGCGTGCCACCCAAGTCAAGCATCGAAGGAGGCGTCTTTTTGCCCCTTGCGGGTATGGGAATGGGAGCCGAAGAGATCCTCGCTGCCGTCAACACGAGCGGAACAGTTCCAAAGCTGAACTCTCCAGAGAAGCTCATCGTGTGGACGTTCGATGGCACTGAGTTTCAAGAGCGCGCTCTGGCGTTCTATGCTGGTGGCAAACCCCCGATGGAAGATGTGTGGCTGCTTGCCTTGATGTTGGCTGTACCTGCATCCAAGCACAACAATGTGATGTCGGGCAGCGACATGCTGGAACTTCAATGTTCCGCAATGGTGCTGCTGGCGAGCTACATGTATGCAGAGTACATGACACTGCTGGTGCCTCCTGCTGTTTTGCTGAAGTATTTCCAGCACACTTGGGAAGTGCACAGCCGTGAAGGGGCCCCGGAGTCCGCGACAGAGATGCTGTCGCACTTCAGCTCTTTTGAGCCTTTGAATACAGCCATGAATCAGTTCCAGCGGATCTTGCAGGCCCGGCGACAGGCCTTTAGCTGTGCAGTCCTGGGCGAAAGAACATGCCCCAACGACTTGGGGAAAGATGCATCGATTATCCGACCATTGGTCGACGTTGTGATCGTAAGATGCCGAGAAGACGTGAGCTGGGCCTTCGACTGGATAGGAAGGGTCCTCCGGGATGAGTGGACCCCGGAAGTTGCAGGCTTAGAACTGCGGCTCCTGGTTTACGAGACTCTACTGCTCTCAGGAATGATGTTCTACTTTTCTTATAATATAACTCCAGGAGATTAAGAACACGAACTAGTCTGTTCTGGTTCAAAAAAAAACACTAAACCCTAAAGCCTAAACCCGAATCCGGCTAAGGAGAAGTGCTTCTCTCCAGGAGATTCCGAGGAAGAAGCGATGACCGGCCAGCAGCTGATCGACCGACTCCTTGACCTTGGGGTGCTGCATCCAGGTGCGGACCAAGACATGGGTAGTTCTCTAAATTAGGGTCCCTTTTAGCGCCCTTTTCATAAGGGTGCCGTACTATCTTCGGGACCCCCAAAAGGGACCCTAGTTTAGAGAACTACCCACATGCAAGTAAAGTAGGCGTGGTTCAAGGGCAGATTTAGATCCAAAAGTGTAATTTCGGTCTGTCCGAAGCCAACGCGAGAGTGGATGGCCTTGCACTTCCAGTTTTCCATCCTGTTCCAAACACGCCCGGTGTCGGCTACAAAGCCAAGACAGGTGAGCATCGTAAGACCTCTTTCATTCCAGCCGGTATGGGGTAGGACCTAGTAGGATAGCAGGCAGCGACGCCATCTACCTTGCGGAGCCACAAGGCTTCGAGAATGTGGCCTATGTGCAGCTTGGCTCACTCCCTTTGCTCCCTAAGATGAGATGCTCCACGTGGGTTGAAGGTTCTCATGCCGGAATGAGCTGTCAGCTCCCTACCCTCTACCCACAGTGGACTTTCTGGGAACCACGCTGCTAGGTTTTTTTGTTACCGAGGCACTACTGCATGTCTCCGAAGTGGAGGGACTCAGACTTCGCTCTGCCCTCAGCTGCGCCAGCCAGCCATGGGGACAAGGGCCAATCTAGGTGGCCATTTGGGAAACTTTAAGATTTCCATGATGGCTTCTATAGTGGTGCCGATCCAGAAATACTTTTTCTGGGCCCCAAAACTACAACCCAGCAATTGAAATCAGTGAAGGTGATCTTTCTCCATGGCTACCCCTTCGATCACACGAACGAGAAGATGCTCGACGATGTCCTGAGGCCAGGGAGAGAAGTGCGCGATCCTGTGGTCTTGGAACGGTATGTTCGCCAGGTCTATGGCTCAGGGCACCTATGCAGTGCGCCGACATTGACATTGAGTTATAGTAGGAGTCTTATGAGTCTCTCCCGGTCATATTAAAACCCTAAGGCCGAAACCCCAAACTCCTAAACCCTAAATCCCTGAACCCCTAAACTCTAAACCCCTAAACCCCTAAACCCTAAACCCCTAAACCCCTAAAGCTCGTAAACCCTAAATCCCTAAACCCTAAACTCCTAAACCCCTAAAGCCCCTAAAGGCCCTAAACCCCGAAACCCCTGAAACCCCCTAAAAACCCCTGAAACCACTAACGGCACCCCAAACCCCCTAAACCCCCTAAACCCCCTAAAGCCCCGTAAAACCCTCTAAAGGCCCCTAAAACCCAGCCCTAGAACCCAAAACCCTTGACCTTAAACCCCAAACTCCTAAACCCCCAAACCTCTAAACCCTAAACCCTAAACCCCTAAACCCTACACCCTCAAAACCCCAAACCCTAAAACCCCTAAGCCCCTTAAAACCCCAATATTACCGAGGTACCCTTCGTCCACTTGAACATCAAGCGCCTGCCTCGTATTGCGGTGGAGCCTTGCCTTCAGGAGCTCATCAGGCGAGGGTTTAGGGTGTAGGGCGTAGGGATTGGGGCCTTTAGGGTTTAGGGTTTAGGGTTTATGGGTTTATGGGTTTAGGGGTTTGGGACTTGGGGTTAGGGGCTTAGGGGTTTAGGGTTTAGGGTGTTCCTTGCGGTTTGAGTCGATAGCATGCATAGCACCGTGCCTTTTGTAGCCATTCAGTGGTCTGTGATATATGTATGTGTGTGTGTGTGCCCACGCGCACGAAGTGTTGCGTCTGCGTGAGCACATTCCACACCCGGGCCAGGCCAGCATTGGAAGCTTGGCATGCTGATCATCAGGACGCAGAAGCTGAAGGGAAGGCTTCAGTGTAAGCAGAATTTGTCTGAGCGCCTGGCAGGGGCTGGGAAAATGAAAGCTCCCCTCTTCATCTCCGGCTCAAGTGATGCATTGCCTACTGGATGAGTAGTAGACCCTTGCTGTGCATGCATGGGACAGGGTGGCCTCAAGGCCTTGGCATATAGATCCAGGGAAAGCATCGTGCCAAACCAGGATCCTCTGCTGAAGGCATCGCTGCCTGTAAATCGGATAGTACATGCGGAGATCACCCGCGATTTCGAGATCCTGCCCCAGGTGCTTGGAACTGGGTATTCTGGGGCGGTATGCTTGGCAGAGCATAGGTCCTCGAAGCGGCAGGTCGCCGTGAAGCAATTTCGCAAGCGCCGCTTAAAGGAGCATCGGCTGAAGATGTTGAAGAGTGAAGTCGAGGTATACCTGCGACTGGATCATCCCAACATCTGTCGATTACTGCATGCCTACGAGGGTCGTCGGTACGTTTGGCTTGTTATGGAAATCTGCAGCTGTGAGCTGTACAGCAGGCTGTGTGAGCGGAAGGTCTATTGCGAGGAGGATGCTGCGGATGTAATGCGACAGATGCTCCAAGCTATCAATTACCTGCGCCTTGGCACGCCCCAGACCTTTCCCGCTAGGGTTACCCGTAGGTAACCTCTTGTCTGCCAAACCCGCAATAGGATAAGGCGCCAACGTTTTTGTAGCCTAGCTTCTCTTGTGCCGCTAGAGTTAAACAAGGCACAGCCACAACATTGTCCACCGAGACCTCAAGCTGGAAAATTGGATGTATGGAGCTCCCACATGTCAAGATCAAGATCGAATCAAGCTTATTGACTTCGGTTTCTCCGAGATCATTCAGGAGGACACGAAGATGGAGATGCCATGCGGGACGCTGCACTACACAAGCCCGGAGGTCCTCAGCCGGAACTACACCAAAAAGTGCGATTTGTGGAGCTGCGGCGTAATCTGCTACATGCTTCTCATCGGCCGACCGCCCTTTCGCGGAGCCAACAACGCACGGATTGCCCGAGCCATCTTAGAGGGAGACTTTCCCAAGGAAGGGCGATGGGAATTCCTGTCCTCCCATGCGCAGGACTTTGTGATGAGGTTACTTCAAAGAGACGTGGGAAAAAGGATGTCTGCTTCTGCCGCTCTTGAGCATCCCTGGCTGAAGGGTGGTGGCTGCACACCTTCGCCTGTCATCGGTGTATCCGTTCTGCAGAGCCTCAGGACCTTTGCGCAAACTTCTCACCTTCGGAGAGCCACTTTAACCATCCTGGCGTACAGCCTGACTTCGACTGAGTTGGAAGGTTTGGAGCAGACCTTCCTCGACTTCGATCAGACTGGACGTGGGACCGTCACGCTGGAGCAGCTAAGGGACGCCATGCAGACTCGCCTCGATGTCTCTTCGGCCGAGGTGAATCGGATCTTTCAAGCAGTCGACTTCACACAAAATGATGAGATCCAATATACACCTTTTGTGGCAGCCTTGCTGGCCACCAGAGTCAAGCTTCATCAGGACAAAGTTCGTGAGGCGTTCGATGCTTTCGACATCGAGGGTAAAGGTTGCATCACGGCAGAGACCCTCGTGCAAGTCTTCAACAGTCAGCTCTGCGAGGGAGGTGCCCAAAGCTGTATTTCCAAGGAGGAAGCAGAGGAGTGGGTTCGTGAAGTGGACTTCAAGGGCAACGGGGTCATTGACTACCCTTCTTTTCTGGCCGCGATGATGGGTCGCAGCTCGAAAGGCCTTCCTTCCTCCGAGGACCTGGCGGATCAGCCCAGCATCCGAGTTTTCGAAGAGAGCCCGAGTGGCAGGCCGCGAGGACTAACAGAGTCCTTCACCGCGGCCAGTTGCACCCTTCGTCTTAGAGATGCCATCCTGGACACCTGCGACACGGACTCTGCCCAGAGCGAGAAGAGGGAGGGTCGAGGCCGTGCCAAGTCATGCAACGGCCTGGAGGAATGCTCAGAAAAGGTCCAAATTCGGTTTCTAGCCTGTCCAGTGGACGAGCATTACTTTTGATATGTGGGGAGTTGTGAATTTTTTTTTGCGCCATTGGGATCTCGCGCTTGCTCTGAAAGGGATGCAGGTGTTTAGACCCCAGCTGAGTACAGACCTACGTGGTGATCCTCAAAGCTTCTGAGAACCGTAATCAGCTCTTGTATCACGGCAGGAACTGCTGAGTGAGGTGATGCCTGCGATGCTAGGTCGCCGTATGCCCGACACCAGCAAGGGCAGACCCGCCGCCGTAACAATATGTACAGCTGAACCTCACGTCTGAGGTGGTTTGCCATAAGGCTTGACATGCAAAGCATCGTCGCCTACCCTGCTTACACCAGTGACAGGAAACGAAGTGTGACTAACGATCTTTCGGTTCCACAGCGAGGGCTAGGGCCCTTATTTCTCGACAATGATTCTTGAACGGAAAATGGTCAGCACGCATGGCGCATACTAGCTCCAACTGGTTGGGAATGGACAGAGGGGATCGCAGGGTGTTCTGAAAGGCGAGTTGTGGCTTCTTGCTGGTGTGAGGAGCACGGCTCGAAGCTGGCTAAGATGACCGATCTTCCGCTGGAGACTGAGCTACTACTTGCAAGTGAGGATGCGCCGGAAGAGAAAATCATCAGTAAAGCTGAAGGGCGCTTGTGTACCACAAACTCCTAAACACTAAGCTCATTAAACCCAGTCTCAGCGGGGAGCTGTCAAATCCGAGGTTCGACTTGTCCACGTATTGTTGCACGCAGTTCGTCGTGGCGCGGCACCGCATCGCTCGAGTGCCCGACTCCTTTTGGAGTGGCTTGTCATGCACTTCCCACCAGCGCTGACTTGATTGCCGACCTGGTGCAGCTGCTTCGATCTTCCGTCTAGAAGCTGGCAGATAGGCAGTCATGCGAACTGCTGAGAGGTAGGGCGGTAACATAAGTAGAGACACCTCTCAGGCGCAGTTTGGCGCTCCCTGCACGACCGCCTCAGCGCAGCGACCTTGGCTTTTCCACAAACAGGGGTGCCGTTGTGGCATTGAGTGCATGAGTCGTGTTGCAAAGCCTAAGCCCTAAAGATCAGGTGAACGGAACAGCTGTGGAGGGACTTGATTGGACCTGCAGGCCAAGTCGTGTGCAGAATCCGCTCAGAGTTCATCCTCTTTCTACTTTCAAGAATCATCACGGAGGCTTCCGGCAAAGAGGGTGTACGAGCAGCGTGCAGAAAGGCTGGAAACATACGATAGCCAAGCTGTGTTCATGATGACGAAGATCCTTGTTGATGCTAGGAACGGCCACATGCCCATCTCTGACTACGGCCTGTGGGCAATCGCCTTACCGTTATTCTCTCTGGTTCTTAGTGGGGAATGGGGGAATGGATCCCTATGATAGTCCCTTAAGGTCCCCTATAGTAGTCCCAAAATCCCATTCCTCCATTCCCTACTAAGAACCATTCAGTTACTTCGGGCCGCCAGTTTGGGGAAGCAGATCGACTGCACCTGGCTAGGGCGAAGTGCTTGAACGAGCCTGGCATTGGATCTTCGGCAGGGAGCCCTGGGCCCTACTCCCCAGAGAACCCAGTACCCCTTAATTAAGGAATATACCTTAAATTGTAAGGACCTTTATATTATGATTTAAGGTATATTCCTTAATTAAGGGGTTTTGGGTTCTCTGGGTCCGAGTCTTTATGCAAAACGACCGCGCGGCGGCTCTGAGGCGAGGACGCCCTGCTGCCTCCTCGAGAGGCTGCCCCGGAAGTGCTCAGAAGCCCATAGATGCTCTCTTCTTGCTGTTCTGACACGACTGTTTGCCAATAGTCGCTGTTACCCTGTCCTCTTCGGTTGAAACTGTCCTTTGTTTTCCTGTTCATATCATCACCCTTTCTTTTTCCGCTGTTATTCTACAGCGTCCTGTTCTGACAGGTGGATTCCCGGCTGCCTCTTTTTCTTCGCATTCCGAGGCCAGAGATGCCTTCAAAAGCCCTAAACCCCTAAACCCTAACCCCTAAACCCCAAGCCCTAAACCCCTAAACCCCTAAACCCACCGAAGCCCAGCCGAAGCCCAGCCGAAGCCCAGCCGAAGCCCAGCCGAAGCCAGGGTCCGGTCCGACGTTGAAGGTGGGCCTCGAGGCAGAGGGTTCAGGGTTTTATAGGGTAGGGCCGAAAGGGGTTTAGGAGTTCAGGGTTTAGGGCCTTTAGGGGTTTGGGGTTCAGGGTTTAAGGCCTTTAGGGGTTTAGGGAATTAGGTTTAGGGTTTTGTAGTCGCGTGATGGAGCCGCAGGCACCATCCTCGATCGAGTGCTTCTTCCAGATTGGGGTTTCGATCCTGGCTACTGGGGTCTTGCGCCCATCATTGGGAATGTGACTGGAGAGGCACGGAGCTTCTCAAAGGCTTCCAGTGATAGCGCCCTTATCTTGTGGATACCTTATCATACCCTTACAGAAACCCGCATTGTAGTGCCCTTACAGACTTATAGTACCCTGGCTTCCACGGTTCAAGCTTCACTGCAGGCTACCGCTGGTTCGGCTTTCTCTTCACCGATTCCGACGGCTCATTTTGCTAGAACTGCAAGGACAAACTGGCAGCTGCCCGACTGGGTGGCTGCATGGCTGCAGGAAGAAACAGGCGAGCGTGAGCCAGTGATGCGGGAAGTGTTGCGCGGTAGTGTTCTTGAATCTCCCATTCTCGATTAAACAGAGAGCTGTGCCATCCAGAACACCTCCACCGGCCCGTTGTGAGCTGTCTGAACAACAGAGTATGGTTTCTACTTGACGAGGGTCTCAGGCATGCATCGCTGTGGCATTGCAGCCAATTCCAAGGCGAGAAGAGAGCAGCAGGGCTGGGACACAAATCAGGCAATCCAAACAGAAGCATTGCTCGGTCACGCCTTCATCGATCAAGCCACGGTTATTTTTTTTCGGGCACAAAGGAATGCAAGAGGCAGGGCTGAGTGGGAGAGTCTAGGGCGACGAGCAGAAGGAGGGATGATGAAGCAACTGATGTAACTACATCCCCTTAATGCGCATTTGTGACAACCCCCCCCCCTCATTTTTCCGTGAGATGGGGGGTAGTTGACCTCATGAACACGAGCTGGTGTGTCTCGTGGACATTTGCTCCAGGCCTGCGTTGTGGCCTTGCCAGTCGTAATGTGCCTTTGCATCAGAATGGTTTCTGAGGCTCTTTGCAGCAAGAATTGCAGGGAGGCATGCCCCTCAATACTCCTGGTCACAGTGATCTAGTCACTCACCCTCATTGATTTGCCTGTTCACCCTCTTTGAACCCAAGCCACCCACCTTTTGTCGCAAGGCCCCAGTTAATCCTGTTGCCGGGTGCATCAAAAGTCCGCTCATCGAAGTTGGTGCAGTGCTACGGACAGAGCAGGGCAGACGGATTCGACCAATTCCTGCCAGCGTTTCCCATCAAGCGCCAGAGATCCATCTACCGGCCAGAGATGTGGAAGGCATTCTGGCCTGCCGGGGCCTCGTCGCACCACTGCTGTGTCTGGCACTCTCGGGTGGCTGGCAGGAGGAAGCCGCAACTGAAGCGAAGGAGAGATTGCCTGGCAGCCTTGCGAGACTCACAGAGCCTTCAGCGGAGGAGGCACCTACGGCGAGCCCGCCGCTGGCAGAGTTCGTAGCGTGTGTGCGGGAAGAGGTGAGGTCCCTGCTGCACCAGGCGTCACGGGATGCCAATAAAGGCTCAAGTACCTCGCGGGGGTTTACTCATCTGTGCAGGAGCTTGGCCTCTTCCAGGCCAAGCTGTTGCAGGATTTCTGGCCTCCGTGCTCCTCTCTCCCCAGAAAATTGCCCATCCATGCTTCGGTGCCCAGGAGCTGCGACAGGGGATCCTAAAGACTTCTGCATGCAGAGCCAGCGAGGCACGACTGGCTGCTTCAGTGCCACAGGATGTCACAGGCCCACGCATTGCAGGTAGAGTACCAGCTAGACGCTCCAACGGCGCGCCACCACAGCAGGCCGGCCTGCGACTCACACGCACAGCTGGCACATGGCAGGCAGAGAAGGAGAAGCTCTCAGCCGACAGAGTCAGCGGCAGAGAAGGGCTGTGCCTTTGTATAAGTACCGGCTGGATACGCAGCTCAGGAGCGAGACGCTTCGGTGGAACATCTTTACGAAGCGAATTGGGCTGAGGCACTGTCTGTGTCTTTGCAGCCCACGTAAGACTTCGAGTCCGACGCAGGTGGTCTCCGGTGGCGACCTGGGCACTGGTCCCTCGTCAAGTCTGCGGCTCTCGTGCACGTCGCGGCTCGTGGATGCAAAACTCAGGTGCCGAAGATGCTAAAAAACGTCGGAGGCAAAGGAGGAAGGCGTGGGTTGCGGAGCCGGCTGGCTGGGTGGGCCCTTGCGCGCCAACAGTGTGGCCATGTGCAAGGCCAAACTCCATTCACGCTTGAGCTCAGAAGATGAGGCAAAACGTATCAAACGATGCAAAAAGCGCAGTCGAACGCTTTTGAACGTTGTCAGGACCAGGCACTTCAACCCTGTGAGGATATCTTGTCCGTGGATGCCCTGAGCACGGAGGCGAGACACTTTCTGCCTCCGTTGGACTCCGGACCAAGTGTGCCAGGCACCCGAGCCGGCCGTGGTCCAACGCTGCGGTCGGAGCAGGTCCGGGCACCTCCCTGCCCTGCAGACGGTGTTGTCGCACTTACCGGGAAAGTCGGTTCCTGCCAAGGCCAGTCAAGTGCCTTTTGAGGCGGAGCGCTTTTTAAAAGATTTGGAGGCTTTGCAACACTGCGGCCCACGAAAACCCGTCATCCTTGGCAGGTTTCACGCCGGCGTGGCAGACACCTTGCTCCAACTCCTTCCGGCTTCTCGCCTGCAGAGAAGCCTCCTGCTGTCCTGCAGCGCGGCGTGTCCTATCGTGTCCTCAGGTCCAAGACATCATGAAGCTCCGGACGACTGCACAGGGTTGCCCGGCCAAGGATCCGGAGGCGAGCGGCAAGCATTGCATGTGGTTCACCTCGTTGTGGTTCCGACTGAGGGTAAGGTATGGTTGCTTCTGCATTATTTCCTCCCGTTTTTATTTGGTGAACAATCGTAGATGGCATCGCCACATTGACATGTCTCTCAAGGGTTTCAAAATCTATCTCTCTCTCCCTCTCTCTCTATATATATATATACACACGTATACAAACAAATCTAGGGCTCAGATCGTTGTGAGGGTTTGGCAGAAAACGCGTCCACTTTGTCAGAATGTAGAAATTGCAGTTGACATTGCCTATCGGCGAGTGGGATCTGATCAGTGATGCTGCGCAGGTTCTGCTGAGGCACCTTGCAAACTCAGCGGACATGGCCAGGCACGTGGCCTTCTCTGTCGCATGGTAGCTTTGACTGTCTCTGCCCTCGCCTTCAGATCATCGTCCGTGGTCTCGCTGTCGGCCCTCGTCGGCGAGTTCCAGCGCCGCATGCGCGCCCAAGGAAGAGAGCAAGCACTGGCACCGCAGGCACCGGCATTGCCAGCACCCACCTACGGCACTCTGCTGCGCCCATTGGAAGACCCGCAGCTGGAGAAGCGTTTCTATGGTGGCATGGCTGGTTTAGATTCGGATGTTCAAGAATCCGTAAAGAGAGAGAGGGTTGGGCTGTGCTGATTTTCTTGGGAAGCTTCGTGAGGCTTCATCTGGTGCTACGTGCACACGAGAAGCCACCGGGAGGATGGGAGCCCAGCATTGCCCTGGATCCTCACAGCGATCGCGGGCCTCTTGGAGCTCTGTTCCACAGAGACGGGTGCAGCCCGTGCTGCGGCGCACCATCTACTAGCTACCTTAGGCGTGGGTTCTGAGCGTGTCCAGCAACTATGTTTGCAGTCGGGAGTTGTGGAGACCACGTTGGCATCTGGAGCTTCTTGGGAAGAGAAAGAGGCCGCGATGCGGCATGTCGGCTACAGCCATCGTTCTTTGGGTCCAAGTTTGCGAAAAAAGTGGGTTGGACACCTGGTGGATAGTCTGGAGCCTTTGCAAGACGACGACGAAGCTTTTGGTTCGGTGGATAAGGTCGTTCACAAGCTGGAGCTGCTGGTGGGCGCCGTGCACGCGGGGCATGCTGGCAGCGGCCGGGAGAGCTTTCCAGAGGCCTTCGCCAAGCTGCAGACCTTCCTAGGCACATCAGCTTCACCGGAGTTCCTGGAAGCAGTCGGAAGGTTTCTGCATCACTATGCATGAGCTGGGCATAGACCGATTTGAGCAGAGCTGGCTGAAATCTGCAGACGTGCTCGGCGTGGGAAGCTTCGCGATGCTTTGGTGCTACAGACCAGACAGGATCGGGGGGATGCCTGGAGCGAGGCACTGCCCTGCCCCACAGCGATCACCGTCTTGCGACGAGAAACGGGCTCAACAGGCCGCGAGGCCCCACGTCGGCTACAGCGTTCATTGGATCCAGGTTTGCGAGAAATGCTTTGCAGCCCACAGTTAGCGCTCAAGCTTCCCTGCGGCCACAGCTCCTTCGGCTTTCTCTGCACCGATTCTGCTGACTGCCCGCGTTTGGCGAAAACTGCAAGGACACTTTGGCAGTTGCCGACTGAGTGGCTGCATGGCTGCAGGAAGAAAGAGGCGAGCGTGAGCCAGTGGTGATGGTGGTGCGGGAAGTGCCACTGCGCCTGAGTGTTCATACATATGTGTATGTGTGTATAAGTATATATATATAGGTTTTTTTATATTGCATCGCACCTGTTTCAAGCCACCTAGAGTTCAAGTGACGAGCCATGCTACAAGAGTCATGTACGCGGTCCGTACCGAAAGGCAGAGTTTAGCCAGCTTCAGAGCCTCTCAAAGCTATTCCCCAGCAATGGCAGTGGTCGGTCAGCAGCTCAGCGAGAGCGAGGAGAACGACTCTACAGAGGACCCCTCCTCCAGCAACGGGCGTCCTTAGTTTCCAGAACTGCCACTAACTTTACTGCTTTGTATTGTTCTGTAAATTTTGTAATGTAGTGTAATGACATGTCATGTTCGGTTTTGTAATGTAAAGTAATGTATGTATGTATGCATGCATGCATGCATGCATGCCTGCTTGTGTGTGCTTATGCATGTTTACACTCCATTCGTTATCTATATTTGTACTTGTATGCAAACAGAACAGAAATATCACTGCAATGAAAATATCCTTCACAATAACAATAACAGCAACAGGAATCAAGCTTCTACTGCCCACGCCTCCTCCTCCTCCTCCTCCTCCTACTGAAACTACTACTACTGAAACTAACTACTACTACTACTACTACTACTACTACTACTAAGGGTTTCGGCCGGAGCTCAGCACAAGGGTAGGGGCGCGTCGTCATGGTATTTCTGCGCTGGTTTCAAATTTCACTGCTTCTGTTGCGCATCGTTGCCCCTGATATTATCCTGCAGAGCTTTTTCTGGCTGCGCCGGTCCCAATTCCGGCGGCCGAGCTTTGGACAGATGAATGCGAGAGAGGAGACATGCTCGGTAAACCCGAGGGTTGGGTTTCATTCCACACTGAACCCGGGAGCAGCTGCTTTTTCAGTGGCTGCGAAAAACATTGGTGGGAAATTAAGCAACTCGATCACACATAGCGACAGCCGCAAGAGAGCCTTTCGAAGGGCCAGGCGCAGTGCCGAGCTGCGTGGTGGAACCGAATACCGCGGCCGATGGTTTACAGCACAGGAGCTTGGAACGGAAGCGAGACCACTGGCTTTGTCGGGTAACGTCGCTGAAAGCAGGGTAGGTCCTGCCAAGCAGCCCTGGCAGGCCAGACCCCGGCTTCGCATTCGCAGCTTTAATGTTGGAGGGATCTCTGCTGAGGTGTATGATAATTTGCATCATTGGTTGCTGCACCGGGCTCGAGATGACATCATTATTCTACAGGAGGTTCACTGGGGCCTTGGCCGAGGCGAGGGCAGCTGGTCTATCCCTGGATGGACGTTTGTGGTTTCGGCAGATCCGAAGAATCGCTACTGTGGTGTCTGCGTCATAGTGTCGGACAAGGTCGCCACCCAAGACCGGCTCACATATCAGGTCTGCATACCTGGCAGGTTACTTCATGTCAGATGTTTTGGGGACAGAGCTACTCTCGATGTCGCTGCTTGCTATCAGTGGGTATGGCAGACTCAGGGCTCGGAGAAGATCGCGGAGTCTCGTAGTTTGTTCTGGCAGAAGTTGGGTTCTTTGCTTCAGGGCATACCTCAACCCAACCTAGTTCTCATTGGGGCCGATTTCAATACCCGATGTTCCCCTATTTCAGGGCTTGTCGGGCGAGGGGTCCTTCGGAGTGACACTCCCAGAGATACCGAGTTTGAAGCTATGTTACAAGCCAACGACATTGTTTTGCTTAACACCTGGTCTAGCTCCAAGCCTCGAATCTGTCACACATTCAACAATGGCAGCGCTTGCAGCCAAATTGACTTCCTGGGCATGCGACGGCCCACGGCCGACGCAACGGCAAGACTTTCCAAGCCATGCCAGTTTGAGCTCGCACCCTGGAGGCGCGGACCTAGGCATCACGCTCTGATTGCATCGATTCCTTGGCGAGCAGGCTGGGCCTTCGGCAAGCGCCGACCGGGTGAGTCTATGCAGTTCTCGTTGCGTAACATGCGGGTTTCCTTGAAGCTGAAGGACAGCAATGCTCAACAGCTCGAAGCTGGATGCGCGCTATCCTAAGCCAAGCCACAGCAACAAGCACTGTTGGGCAGATAAACCAGCAAATCTTGAAGCTTTGTGCCCAGCTGTACCCCAGTAGTCCCAAGAAACTCAGCAACAAACCCAGCTGCTTTCCTGCCGTCACGCACGCTGTTGAGCAACTCTGGCTTGCCACGGACGCCAAGCGTCGCGAATTGCCGGCGCGCGGCATCAGAGATGCCATCGATGCAAGACGGAAGGCAGAGGCCTTCAAGGCTGCTAGCAAGGCACTGAGGCAAGCCAGCAGAGCTGCGCGTAGGGAGTGGTTTGAGGGTCACATTGCCGCTGCCGAACACGCGGCTTTACGTCATGATCTAGGCGAGGTTTATAGGGTCATCAACATCTTAGCGCCTAAAAAGAGACGCGATCTGGTGCGCATCAAGAATGCCGACGGTGCTTTGCTTCGGCCCAAAGACGAATTTGCCGAGATTTTTGGTTACTTTAGGCAGATTTTTAGCAGACGGGACGCCTTTGAAATGCCGAGGCATTCCCTCGAGCCTATAAGTTACCATGAAATTTTGGCCGCTGTTCGTAAACTTAAGGGTGGCAAGGCCGTCCCGCCTGGAAGCGTCCCTGCGGAGCTTTGGTCACTGTGCCCGGAGGAGTATGCTGCGTTTTTAGAACCCCGGCTTAACCCGACGCCTGATCCTGGCTGTACCTACCCCACCGAGGCTACCGACTGTACCTTAGCGCTTCTCCCGAAGCCCCAAAAGACTAGTCGTAGGCCCGCCGATTTGAGGCCGCTTGGGTTACAGGATGCCTGTTCTAAGGTCCTTGCGCACACAATCCGTGTCAAGCTGCAGGAACATACCCTCGCATTCCTAAAATCGAAGCCTCAGTACGCATACATTCCAGAAAGGGCCATAGACGAGGCTATAGCCCGGGTTTCCCAGCACTGCCGGGCAATCCGAGATGCCCTGAGTTCTTCAGTGCTCTCGGTGCATGCGAGGCGCGCTGGACAACAGCAGGCTAGGTGCCTGGGGGGAGCCATGTTAGGCATTGACCTAAGTAGAGCGTTCGACAGCATCACCAGAGCGGCACTCCAGCGTTCCTTGCAGCACGCCGGAGCACCCGAGCCGCTTCAGCAAGCCGTGCTGCAGCTGCACGAACACTGTCGCTACAGGGTTAGGCACAAAGGTAACACGGGCTCCTTTGCTATGGAGGTAGGGGTCAGACAGGGTTGCGTTTTGAGCCCATATCTGTACGCCTTGTTCTCGTGCCTCATTTACGACGAGATAGCTGCTCGCACGAGCCACTCCTGGGCTTCTGCATCAATGACCCTCTTCGCAGATGACAGCCATCTTTCCTGGGTAATCAACGACGTAAGTGACCTTCAGTTTATGATGCGGAGCATACAAGTCACCTTCGAGGTCTTTCGTGCGTACGGGATGGAGGTTCACCCAGAAAAATCGCATCTAGTTATCCACTTGAGGGGAAGTGCGGGAGCTCGCTGGCTCAAAAAACACCTGCAGCGTACAGAGACTGACTGTTGCATCGATGTTGGGACTCCACATCAGCCAATCCGTATCCCCAGGGTACGTACCATGTTGTATTTAGGCATCGTCGCGTCCTACACGAAATTCGAGTATCAGACATGCCTTCATAGGGTTCGTGCCGCGACGGCCAACAAGTCCCGCTTGGCCAAGGTCTTGCATAATAGGCAGCTCACGATGCAACAGCGGCTTCGCATGTACGTGGCCTGCGTAAGAAGTAGCCTTCTTTACGGCGCGCACGCCACAGGGATTTCTCCTGCTGTTGCTAGGAAGCATGAGCAGTTTGACTCTAGAGCTATACGAGCCATCGCCAAATCGCCCGCTCACCTCACCAAAGAGTCTACTGCTCAACTGCGAGCTCGACTTAAGTTGGACTCTCCTCTTACGGTTCTAGGACGCACACTGGAGCGAAGGCAACAGCGGGTGGAGTCTGCTGATTGTAGAGCCTGGTTTGGTAGGCTGAGGTCTGAAGTCGGGGTGCTGCAAAACAACCCCCACATTGCTACCTCCGCTGGGACCACTGAGCACATCCTTTGCGAGAGGTTGCAGTACCCCTGCCCAGACTGTGGAATCTATTTCAGCACCCTACGACACATGCGCTCGCACCGCGCCAAGCAGCACGCCTACAAAGGGCAGAACGTGCGTCCGCAGCCAGGAGTCCTCAGTGCTGCATCCTATGCGCAAGGGTCGGTACAGGGCATGCCAGAGTGCAGGTGGTGTGGTAAACAATTCACACGGGTAGAGGGCTTGAAAAAGCACTTGAAGTCAGGATGTGATTTCGCAGTCAAGCCGCCAACTGTCAAGGCAGAGACAATCACCGCTGTTGAGGAACAGGTCCCCTCACAGCGGGCGGAGTCGCCTAGGGGCAGGGCTCCGCTGGTTGTCTCTGCAGCTGCACCAAAAGCCAGTGCATGCCCCTTTGCTGCGCCATTGGACACTGAGCAATTTTGTTCATCGGTCAAGGCCAATTGGAGCCAGACTGCTGCACAGCCGGAAGTCAAACAAAGATTGCGAGAGCACTGTCTTATTTGCGGA